CCCATCAACTTTCAACCTGCATGGCACTTAACCCGCCTTTGGGCGAACGGGGAAAACGTCGCTGGTTAATGGGATGTCGCTATGTGTAGATGTTGCTTCCACATTTGGGGTGCGAACAGAAACTGACGGACGAGTAGCTGTGCTATCTGAAAATTTACCCATGCCCTTTGCAAATTTCTCCGATAGTCGCATCTGCTCTGCCTCGCAAATCTTTGGACACCATTTAGCAACTGACTTTGGTACCAAAACAGTCTGGGCACCCTGAATCAAATCTTGCCCTGGCTAAGCAAACGCTTCTTTCTTCCAAAGTGGACTGGTACAATTCGTTGGCGGGGATAAGCACACTGACCTGACATTAACATTGATTTGTACGTCTTATGGTACTCATAGATCATTTTGTGGACTAACAAAAAGCGTGACGGATCGACCGTCGAGCAGTTTGTGCTTTACCCCCTTATCACTCGGGAAGTCGCGATAATAGCATGCTCTCTAACGATTTATCCCCGGAATTCAGTTATGGAGTCATTTTGAAATTGCTCAAATGGGTACTGTTTATTAGAACAAATATCTTCATGAATACCAGGATTGCACTTACAATTCGCAGCGATACACTTACAGATATCATTTGTACAGATGACTTCTGCAAAACAACACTCGACGGTTATTTGTTCTCATACCTGACCATCTCTAGTCCAGAACAAACCGTTCACTTTCCATAGGAGGGAAGGAACGCAATTACCGAGGCTGCTTGTCCCGAAGTCTTAGGCATTTCGTGATAAAGCCCCATGCATATCTGACCATGAGATAGGCAGTTCCACAAATCTAGCTCAACCGCAGTATCAGCTAAAATGGCCTATTCTAGGTAGTAACTTCTGCTGCTACTGCAACGATGATCATAGATTTAGCATAATTGGCCCAAAATATTACTCATGTGGCCTAGTTGTCCAGAAACAGGGCTCACGATCAGTGTTTGTTCGAGTGGAAAAAATTTTGAGAAACATCATGCAGTCAGTTTTGATGATCTCTTCCATAAACCGCTAACTTGGTGTGTCGGTTTGTATGTATGTATGTGTATGTATGTATGTATGTGTGTCCGTCCGCAAAATGAAGTGAGTGAGAAGGAAGCTCATGGATAAACAAACCGCTAACAAATCGGTAGCTACAGGACTTGAGCTATCAATGTTTTGTAACAGATAAGGCCGATGTCAGACTTTGCGAATCGCGCGATTCGCTAGCGTCTGCGGTCGCGTCGCGGCCAGTGAATCACTCAATTGGCTGGTACCGCAACGCGACCGCGCGAATCGCTAGTAGCGAATCGCGCGATTCGCAAAGTCTGACATCGGCCTAGTTGTGAACAACCCTAGGGCTATATAAACACCTGCTTAGCACACTTCCGTTCATTCCACATGGTGCTGCAGTGGCAGCTGGAGGGCAGTGGAGGAGGAAGGGAGGATGGGAAGGGAGCGAAAAACCGATCACCAAAAGACCGAAAGTGCAGATAGGTATTGGTGTCATTCTACCGTCATGTCATGATTGTGGCGATGCCTCTACTATATGAAACTCCTTTTTGTTGCATACGCGTCACCTCCACGAGGTGTTGGTGTCACAGGTGGAAGGGACCATAGCGGAGGATAGAAAGCTTGCGCAGGAAAGGAAGGTCCCGGCGGTTGACGGGGGACTAATCTGGTACTACAAATCACTAACATACCTTATTTTGTTCAACAATTTCCTCCTCTAATAATTTACCTTCCGTTCTTTGTTGTTTCAGTAGGACAGCACACGGTGAATCTTTGGAAGTTTTGTGGCTTTGTCATCTTTGAGAAACAAAGCAGCTACTTGCTATGTATAGCGATTTTCTGGATTTTTTTCGGAAAAAGAGCTTCATTCTCCATGACCCCTGTCTTCCCCTCTCAAAAACGAGGAAAATTGTGAAATTGTGGAAACGGGCCAGCTTTGGAAGTAATGTGGAAGCAATTAGCTTTGTGGGTACGGTCCTTGGATGGCGCAGTCGCATTCGCCATCTAATGAATCTAACTATATCAAGGCAAAGCCAGCACAAAAACTGCCAGCCGCATTCATTTAGAGCCAAGTGCCTTCGCATTTTCTAAGGTTTAAATGGATTTGGACTATTTGATTATGGAGAGCTTCAGCAGCAGCATATTTTCAGTCTTTTGGGAGAGTTGTGCTGTTACAGGGCTTCAGCCAACCAAAGAGCAGGAGCATAGGGGGGAGAGCGGGCGCTTCGTTCAGTGCAAAGCTATGCCTTTCAAAGGCCTTCAGCAAAGAAAGTGAGGATGCTGCAGTAGTATGCATGTGAGAAAGCTCTTAGACGCCTGTTCTGCATCACAATTTGCTGCCATGTGAATGCTCGTGGACCTATCCGCAACCGTGATCACTACGCCTGAAGCCTTCTTAGGCCGATGTCAGACTTTGCGAATCGCGCGATTCGCTACTAGCGATTCGCGCGATTCGCTAGCGTCCGCGGTCGCGTTGCGGTACCAGCCAATTGAGTGATTCACTGGCCGCGACGCGACCGCAGACGCTAGCGAATTCGCAAAGTCTGACATCGGCCTTGCACAGTTCGAACAAGATTGAGAGCAACTGATTAAAGGATCTTCACCTCCGAGTCAAAATAGAGTCTCTGGACAGGGGAGGTAGTAGCTGGTACTTTTTGGTTTAATTCGGTGGCACACACAAGTTAGAAATTTTTGTTGTTAGGGCGGAAGTGGTGTAGTGGCAAGTGGCGCTGCTTATCACGCGAGCGGTCCTGGGATCGAATCCTGGGTCGTGCATCGCCCGGGCCAACCAAGCCTTCCACTCCTCCGGGGTTGCCTGTCTGGTAGGATAAAAACACTGACTTGTACATCGGCTGGCCCCCGCAAGTCATTGTATAGGCCACATCGCATTCAAACGCCACTACGAATGTACAAATGGAAGTAGAATGCGTGCCGCATCCCAAAAAGGGATTGATCAACGGCAAATGCAAATGCTTTATCTTCCATGCTTAGGCTGGGATCAAAAGAAGTTTACGGGGTGAAATGTTTTTCGATAGAGCTGAACTGATGGAGTTCTCCGCCATGCCTAACAGCCCCAGCGATAAGATGTAAATCAATCGAAGCCTTCGAGTTAACTGAGGGCCAGTGGGCTAATTTGCGTCTGGATATAGGGGAAATGAAGTTCCTATATGGAGTGCTATAGAAACGCTTGACGCAGTCGGGAAGTTCCGTGATTTACAACAAGCCTAAAAAATACTTCCTGGCAATTTGGAAGATTGGAATTCCAAAAGAAAAGAATTTCCCACATATTCAGGCAATTTATGCTACCGTAGCCGATAAAGAGAGATCTCACACCTAACTGTTTTTAGGATGTACCGACACGTGCGACGATACGAAACCTTGCCCAACTGGCACGTCTTGTGTGGACAATCAGTGCTGTGTCTGTTCAAAGGAAGAGTTCACACTGATTCTGAGGAACCTAACATTTGAGGACTCCGGCCGCTACAAATGTCAAATCGCCAATCAATCTGAACAGCTCGAGTTTCAAGTAGAAGTGCTAGGTTGGTGAACTGTTGATACGTGTTTCCTTCAGCTGTAGATCAATCGGTTTTGTTAAGAATCCGGACTGAAAGGCGGATTCCACGAGAACATCTCCTACGATCATTCTGAATGCTGTCAGGAGAAAGGCGCATTTCAACACTGTGTAGAGCGATGTGCAAACCGGTGAGATGCCCAATACCACTTTTGATCCTACCAGGTAGGTCCGTCAGGTATAGGCTGGCTTTGTTTTAGCGCTTATGTGTCTTGGTTCAGCTGTAAAACGGACGACTATAAGAACTTCTTGTCCTGTGCGACCGACAACGGTAATCGCAGTCATGTACATTGCTGCAAGACGCAGCTGGTGCCATCTTTCTGCTACGATTTCTGCTCAGGAGATTTCAAGGTAAGCCATATAGAAGCTTAGCGCCTTCAGACTGCCGCAGCTCTGAAGAGACGAGAACAATGTGCTATTTTGCAGATGCTCCGTCGATCTCATCGTCTGTGCCTCTACTACCTGCCGGAGATTTTCGAATGCTACAACCGAGCCTACCGTATGTCTATCAATCCACCTTTAGAGCATTACCGAAGTCGTGACAGCATCCCTTTGACTTCGTTCTCATCGAATAACAAGGGGCAGAACTCTAGTGGCACGGGGTCCCACGGAGGTGCTAGCTAAGCTACTGCGCCCAAGGCGCTGACTCACCACTCCCTAAACTAATTTAGCTTCAGTCGTAGCCATGAGTACTGTGTCGTCAGTACCTTAGATTAGTGTGCTGTGCATGTTAACTGTGTGGTGTGCCTGCTAGAAGATGTTTCCCACTCCGAAGATTCGCTCAATGAACGTATGCCCAAAATTACTGCCAACTTCTGTTAGATTCATTTAATGCATGTGTGTCCAGTCGGGTTGAACTCGTGTGCCACTTTCCCAGTTGCTCATGTTGATGACTATGGCCAGTTTCTCTGTACCCTGTGTGGTGAATGGCTCGCCTTGAATAAATGCTTGAGAATGTCGTAGTGTTAGATTGTCTTTCAACGCACGTGTAACCCTTTGTTCTACCTTTGAAGATCCATACTATAGACGCAGTTGAGAAGGTCTCCCAGGAGAAGGCACAGGATCTTATGCTTATTGAATCTCATCACAGTTCGAACTTCTTATCCTCGCTAACTGACTATAGTCAAAGAGTCATTCACCTATCCTACGTCTTCACCAGTTTGAGCCATTTCCGTGAAGTAGGGGATCTGGTCAGCTCGGCAGGGTTCCATACCAGAGCACCTTATTTGAGGATCAACTGAGTGAAATTCTCCGTGCTGCAAGTGGCCATACCTGATACTGCCGGAGCAAAGTGTGGGAAGGCTGTCCGAGCATGACAAACTGACCGTCTGCTGCGACTCACCGCTGTCCCACAGAATCACCAACAAGAACTTCCCCGTTGTTGACTACACCGTCTACTATAAAGAGATACCGAACTTCCCTCTCATGGGAGGCGATATGTGAGTTAGTCCTTGCACTTCGTTCAGCTCATGTTCAACAAATGATTTGAGTGGATTTACAGCGGCGTCCCACTTCTAAATGGCGACTACTCGGAGTTTGGAGACATCGACGATGACGTCGACTATGTGAATCCGGACGGCACCACTGAAAGGCCTACAGATCGAACTCGTAGGGAAGACAGGGTATGACAATTAATTCGGAATTCATGTCAGTTTTCGATTTATAAAAATACATGCCATAGTGTTTCTGTTTTAGGGAGTTCTGAACCTGCAACCACCTGAGGCAACCAGGCATACCAGTAAGAACTTTCAAGCTCTTCGATTCCAATTTTTTAGGCATTTTCGAAATCGCTCCCTCATTTAATGTTTCTATGTGAGGTCAGCACTCTGAAGGCCTTTCCGCAGTGAAAAAAAGTTGTAAATAAGCCGGGAGTACATACACAACTTCTGAATGATTTGGGAAGGCCGAGACATTAAGGCCGCAGGATGCAAACAAGCAGAATTGCCCTTCCAACACCACCTGACCTACCCCGCAAACCAATTGCTGAAAGCTTGCCCTATTTCTTTGCGATTTGTTTCTGGTCGATCCATAAAGGCATAGCGATTTTGAGCTGAAATTCTTTTCTCTAAAGTATCATCGTTTTACACTAGGTGATAAGTCATTCGATAGCACATTTCCTGCCCTATTTGCGCATTTGCTTTAATTTCATATTCATTGGAAATCAGGTCGAATTCTAGGCCTGCGCAATAAGGTGTTCAGTCCATGAAAATTGCAACATTCCTTTGAAATAAATTTTACCCGAGAAGATAAGAAAATCAAGCAGGCCTTACATCCTTGACTCAGTCATGACTTGTTCTTAACATTCCACTAGTTTTTCAATGTCTCGGCTGTAAAAAACTTTTGAGCTAGATTTCAAGAAATGGTGCTTGACCGTCGAGTTCTGGTTGAAAAACAAGTATGGGAAAGGAGCAACGCGACTTGTTGGCAAGCCTAATAGCGGAATGTTCAGAGGAAGTTGTGACTAAGCTGATGCTCTATCATTGGCTGATTCCGCCTAGGGGGATGTAGAGTTAGGGCTATCGTTGCCCGTTCGGCTATTTTTCGTTGACTGGACTTCGCGTTTGCAGGCCTGAAATTTAAAAATCCTGCAACAAATGTGGAGGAAAACATAGCTGCTTGTAGAGCAAACAACTCTCTTTCGAACGGTGCATTGTGCAAGAGCTTTGGGAATTAGGAGAAATTTTTTTTGCTTGAAAAAAACGAACACTACTTAGGAGACAAGCTAATATTTTCGCCCTCGCTGGCAGCTTCTTCCGTTTTTTCGTCACTAACGTTACACTTCACATCTCCACTATCATTTTCAAGCGTATTAGAACATTGCTTTGATCCAGAGTTTGGCGTTAAGGTGCAAATGGCACATTTCGGTTGGAGAACATTAACGTTACTCCTTCGGCTTATGTTGGCCTTCCTAAATCCGCTATTACCTAGAACCTAGCTAAAGTTGTTTTTCACAATCGAAACGTGAACATAACTTCGTAAACTGTTCCCCGGGCGGAAGTGGTGTAGTGACAAGTGGCACGCTTACCACGCGAGCGGTCCGGGGATCAAATCCTGGGTCGTGAGTCGCCCGGGCCAACCAAGCCTTCCATCCCTCCGGGGTCGGTTAATTGGTACCAGACTTGTCTGGGAGGATAAAAACACTGACTTGTACATCGGCTGGCCCCCGCAAGTCATTGTATAGGCCACATCGCATTCAAACGCCACTACGAATGTACAAATGGAAGTAGAATGCGTGCCGCATCCCAAAAAGGGATTGATCAACGGCAAATGCTTATCCTTTTTCCTAATACTGTTCTCCTATGTAGTCCTTCCCTTTAATGGCTGAATGCTGCTCTGGAGCACTAATGCTTCTCTTTTCTCACAACCTTGACTCACTTCTTCTACAAGATTGTAGACCTAGATCTTTTCAGAAGACGCTGAGTGTGAGATTGAGGCGAAAGCGTGACACGGTGGTGGTGATGACAAGAGATGAAGCAACGAACTCCACTACTATTCGCGAATTCAACTTCCAAGCGTAAGTGGTATTCCATCCCACCGTTTTCCGTGACGCTGCCTACTGCGCTTTGCCTGTTTGACGGTTTCGCTGGCCCTAGATACCACATATCAAGGTCAATGACCAAGGCGCAGTGAAATTAGCCGAACGGGCTAGCGTTGAGCGCCGTTGATCGTTCTGTTAGAAAAACTGTCCGCTCTGGTTTAGATAAACACGACAAACACTTGCCAAACCATCACTGATCTACGCTCTTCCACTCGATACATCGTCTATGTGACCTCACGGAACGAATACGGTACCAGTGTACCAAGTGTGCGTTCGATTGCCAGTACAAATGTGCACATGCTGAAGAACAACGACAGTATCCCTGATGTGATGAGTAAGCTTTCCGTAGCCTATAGTCACTCCTGTTAAAGGATGACCGTATTTGGACGATATCTATCATGCTTCCACTGATTGACTAGCGTCCTTCCGTATATGTTCTGAATACTCGTACACAATAGTGAGCGACCCTGGTCTCTGGCTTAGAATATCTGGAGATGGCAAAATGTTGAAGAGGTTTGCCAGCTCATTCCTTGGGAAGGCGCCACACAATGTGAACGCAGAGTCTCTGTTGGTCAATGCGAAGACTTGTTGGAAGTCATCAGAGTCGGCTAGTCAAATTCACTGCGCTAGTAAGTAGACTGAAAATGGCGGCCAATAATGGTGGATAAATGCCTCTTTCATTCTTCATGGTCTCATTATGGGCTAATGACGCCGAATCGGACTTGACCCACAAATTAATTTTTCTGAGGGACAAATACAGCAGCCGCTGATTTTCCAATCTCTCAAAAATTTCTCAAGCGTATCCTTCTCCTTTTAGACATAACTTGTGTTAGTCAGGTATAAGAATAGACAGCATAGGGCAGTGATCTTACGGGCTCTGAAGGTCGGAGTCTACGATGAAAATTGAGCCCATTAGAAATTACAGTAAAGGTGGTCAATGGAGCAGAAATGAAGAAATGCCAGTGGAACGACCCAGAGCACGATAAATGAAACATCTTCCCTCCTTGTTGATTTCCGCACTGATGCAATTCCGATCGGTGCTGCCCCCTTCACGCTGTCTTACTTATATGACTAGATAGGGTGGGCGTGCTGCGGCGATAGCGCGGGTATGGCCCTGCTCGGCCGCTGGGGCATACTCTTAGCTTCGGAACGCGCATCGTTCCGCGCCTCATGGGGTCCATCTGCTTCTCGACTAGGTATATTTCCCTTTTGTCATGATCATGTCGCAGAATCATCCTTCAATTGTTTAACATTACCGTGACGAATTATTCCGCATGCCTCTCGGAAATTACTGGAATGTGGCTTTTTTTACAGAATGCTGCCAGGAAAACAAAGTGTCCGAATTCTGCAGTTCGAAGATGTGTGCTGTGGAGACGTCGCCGAACGCCTTTGCTACTGTCCTCCACCATCCCACTTGCCCCGAAGCGAATGCCAAAGTATCTTCCGTCGCTGACACTCATGGCGAGCAGAAGATCCATTCCAACTGGACCTCATTCCCGTTGTATAACTATAAGTAGAAGAATATGCCATATGCCATCATTTAACGTACTATATCCCGTGTAGGTCTCTCCATGCTTGGCTTGATGGCCGTAATCACACCGAGTGTTGTCGCAGAAAGGGTGTTCAAAACGATTGCCTGCCGATTTGTGCTGGATCGACTGAGTCGCTGGGCGTTCACTCCTTGCTGTGTCTTAACCTTGATCTTCAAGCCATACCAGCTGTCTTGAGCAGGGCTACGGTGCGTAGATTCAATAGTAGACTTCTTTTCTGGCTGCAACTCTTTATGTGTCATATTTCTATGGTGGAGCTTTCAGAGTCACATCCATCTCCTCCCGTCAACGTGTCGGTCACTTCTGTGAGCGAGTCCTCGGCTGAAATTACATGGGCTGAGCCAGATTCCAATGCGCACCTCGTCGAGACTTACACTTTGCTCATCCCGTAAAGTTGAGCATCGCGCTACGCAGTGCAGAGAGGTTGCTCGGCTTAAGGCCTTCGCTAACTCTACTCCAGGCGTTGCCTGCACTTTGGCACTGTGCTTCAGCTCAAGCTCATTACAGGGTCGCCCACACTGCAGTCTCTCCCTCCCTGAAATTGGCCCTGGCATCCCGACACGCCGAATATTCCGTATCCAGCCGAGGTCGACCTCGCCACGAGGCATCGTCCGTCTGGCCTCCCCACCGCTGTTATCTGTTCTCCACGAAATCGAAATCCGCCGGAGGTGCGCCCATCCGGGGAACCCGCTCTGCTGATCTCCCGTCACCCTTTCAGTACCCTCATTTTTATCGCCCCATCATTCAATCGTCACCCACCTTACCTCCGTCGCCCACATCCCTGTACCGGCTCGGAAGCTCGAAACCCTATTCTATCCGCTTAATGTAGTTCTTAATAAACCACATTCCAATTACTACTTCACCCTCCCCCTCGCCTCTGTTACACGACAAAACTCCATTGAAGCCCCTTCGCAATTGAGACGCAATGCGCAATTCCTACCCCTCCCAGGTCTCTCATTTGAGAGAGCAAAGATCCATCACTCACTCGTCCCCTTCGGAACTCCTTTTTGATCATTCTCTACTCACTCGTATGGTTCAACGGACGCCCTTTCCCTCCGCCGCTCCAGCCCCCCGCCCGCCCGCCTTTCCCCTGCCCGACGCCTCGACGTGAGGCTATCGCGCCCTCGCCACCACCTCTCCGCCACGCAGCCTCTCCATCGATCGACGCATATCTTCATCCAGCTTCACTCCAACCCACACAACACTCTCACGCACGCGCGCGACCACTTGCACGCCCTCTGCCACTTCGCGCATCGCGCCTCCGCCCACGCACCAGCACCACACCCACACCCCTAACTCGCCCCTCCCACCCGCCCGACCATCTCCAATCACACACCCACACGCAACCTCCAACGCCAACCCCATCTCCCCCACACTCCTCCTCTCACCATTCACACACACACACACACCCCACACACTCACCTCCACATCTAGCTCACCCACTCCACTTTCCGCCTCCACTCGACAACGAGCACGCTCACCACTCTTCCTCCAACCCCCACACACACCCGCCCCCACGCCATCACTCGCTCCACACACACACACACACACACTGTCGCACGTCGCCCACTCCCGCTACCTCACACTCTCATCTCACGCACTCTCCCACCGCGCCCGACGAGCACCGGACACCGCCGACCCGCCCTCCACCTCAGCCTCACTCCCCCACATCCCTCTCGCCCACCCCCTCTCTCTCTACCTCACACGACACCCCACAACCACCACTACGCGCGCGCAACTTCTCAGTCACCCGCACGAACGACCCCCCTGTGTGTAGCTCAAGTGGTGATAAGATTACTTAAACAATAATAATCATATGAATTAAAACTTTTTTAGACAAGAATGCTGAATTTCGGTTCAAATTTCATAAAAGACGAGTTACCATTCCGAAAAACAGCGTAGGCATGGAATTAGGACATAAAGTCATTTATGATACGGACCTCATGGCTGAGGGCTAAAGGTTTGACAGGTTTTTGACAGGTTACGTTTCTGTGGTGGATCGCGCCCTCGGTGACCGCAGTGGGGCGCGTTTGTTGAAGGGGAACAGGTGTCGAAAGGGGAAATCGAGAAGTAGAAGAATTTTTCCTCGTGAAATTTCAGGTTCCTCGGAAGACGGAGGTGGATTCTGGATCACCGACGCTCATCCTTCTTAATTAGAGCGGATTTGTTCTTAAACAATCTGAAATGATTAATTTATTGAACAAGAAAGGAATTTGCACTACAATTTTCACCTTCCTCTTTTTAGGGCTATAACTTTCTTCATATTCGAGCTTTCGCGCCGGAGTTATTTGATTTAAAAAATTCAACTCATTCTCTCTCCAATCATGGCTGAAAATTTGATCGAAAGCTAATTTAGTAAAAATTTAGCACGTTGAAACTTTTTTCTGTGCAAACGCGACTTTTCAAGCTTTAAACGACCATAACTTCCTTCAAATTCATTTATTTGGGAAGCTGAACCCGGTATGAGAAACTACAGGATTCAAGCTTTCTAAAAAGTACCCAAAGGTTATTTTAAAAGCGAGTAATTCAAAAATTAGTCCCGTTGCTACATTTTAGGGGGGTTCGCGGAACTATTTTTCTGAAACCGCGACTTTTCAACCTTTAAACGACCATAACTTCCTTCAAACTCATTTATTTGGGAAGCTGAACACGGTATGAGAAACTACAGGATTCAAGCTTTCTAAAAAGTACCCAAAAGTTTCTTAAAAGTCAGTAGTTCAAAAATTAGTCCCGTTGCTACATTCTTTTTGAAGGGCATTTTCCAAGCCATTCTTTCAAGAAAGCGGGTTTTTTAGGTTTTACTGCCCGTAACCTTCAGGGAAAACGAGATCGTGCTGACGATAGGATGTGTCAGAATGCTTTGTGCATGTGCTTGCACTGGTATCCCCCTGTCTTGGTGTGCGCCACGCCTCGGTCGCACTCCTGATTCGCTGATTCATTTGGAAGGTCATTCGGAAGTAAGCGGTTTATAAACGCTCTAGCATCAATAATCTTGCGTAAACGTAATGTGCTGACTATTGTCCATGTTGTCTTAGGCAATACTCCAGCTACACTTTAGTTTCAAATGTGGTTTACGTGCGTGGACCCATGTCATGGTGGGAGCACTTTTTTGAACGATGCTAGCTGCTGTTTCTGCAAGTCTTCCTTTCTCATGCTCTTCCTGAAACATGGTTATGATCAGTAGGGAGATTACCACAAATCCCACTGCCGGCCACCGAGAGAGTACGACCCCCCCCCCCCGGGTCCATCCAAGTACGACCCCCCGTTGCTACTTGTAGCAACATAGGGTTGACCCTGGGGGGGAGGTGGTAGCATTTTTTAGGGCTTTGAGCACTCAGATTCAGGCATGGAAGTTAAGTGATGGGCGGAAAAATTCTTATCGATGCCACTTGAGTAGCGACAGATGCCGTTCAAACTGCTCGGAATGCAA